AGGACGACTTTCCGGTATATGACTCACTGTAGATTGAGAACGTGTTTTCGCTTGTGAAACATCAGCAGTTTGAACTGACTTATAAATTATATTTGTAGCAGGATAATTAACCTGATCAATAACCTGATTAATAATAATAATAATATTATTATTATTGCTATTATTACCGTAACTATTCATTCTAAAGAGATCAAACCACAAACATGTGAACTGAAATAAAGTTCAATTTAGTCCCCCACCACACACACACACACATCTCACACATTTGGAACCCTTGACGCCATAGAAGAAGAATTCGACCTCCAGAAATATACCTCCGTCCTAACAGGAATTTAAAGGACTGAACGAAATGATGTATTCCTTTTCAATTAGTTCCTCATCATCATTGGCCTTACACTAATGCACATATATATATATATATATATATATAAGGAAACCGTCTCCATGCATTTGGAATTCAAAGGTGATCAAGCTTCATCAGATATGCTCAAAAGCCGTCTCTCTACAGCAGTTGGTAAGGTGTTCTTTGCAACAAAATTACAAATGACGTTCATCAGCCGAATGTTGTTCTCCATCTCTGTAAGTGATAGGTTCACCCATCTGACCGCCTCCGTGTGTATCAGTCAGTTGACCTGCTCTTGTGGAGCAGGGTACATTGGCCGTAGGCAGAGAACGCTTTCCACACGGATTGAAAACGAATTCCAGCATGGTTTTACAAGGAAGAAAGGAAGAATGCGTGAAGCTGTGTTCTTGATAGGATCCCACACACTTTGTTATTGTTCAATTATCCTAACGACTGTTAATCTCGCATAATTGGTATATCATTTTTTTCCCACGCATTTTGATATTGACTATTACGACCAATTATTTCAAATACTGTTAGCTGTCTGTATTGGTTGTAAAAATGTATAAATACTATTTCCTAAATAAGTTTCTTTGTCGTCGTAGTTTGTCGTAGTTGTTGTACTACAATATACAGTCACAGACCAGCTTTTGTCTTTTGATATTTGCGTGGTTCGCTGAATCGGAAGGTACCAGAAGCAGATAGGCATATTAGTCAGGCGCAGACAGAACAAGGCGACAACGTCCTCATTTAAATCCCCTACAGTTACAACAGTTCTAGAACAGCTGATCGACTCCTGTCACTTTACTAACCCTGAGCATGATTTTAGGTTGTGGTGAGAGATGGTTGCTAGCCAAATTGTTAGACAGTAATTGAGGTCAATGTTAGTCATGTGAAAACAAGGTCAAGATGGTCAGGCGGATACAGTTAACATAGAGATTAACTGACACAGTCACAAGAGATGCAAGATTAACTTTTTGTGAGAAACAACCAATCAACAGACTGTATTTTCTACAAACACTAACCTACAAAAATGTGCATCAAAATCTATAAATACATGTTGATTTTCCATAATAAACCCCTTTGCAACATCTATGCATCTTATGAATTATTCTATAAATGACATTAATTATTTCGCCACTTGACATTTAACTATTATTAATGGAATGAAGAGAACATGAAGTTCAGCAAAGACAACTGTCTTCCCGGCGATTTCACTTTCAAAAGCAGCTGTACAATCGCATTTAAATACATAATTTTACACAGATACAATTTTTACTTGATTCCGCACAATTACGAAGACGAATAAAAGGTGACAACTAGATATTTTCAACTAGATATGGTTTACGAGAGGCTTAGAGACAAAATCACACAAGATTAGGACGAATTATAAGTCTGTAAAAAATGAGAATGGAAACAAATTGAAATAATTATTTTCAACTTGAAATGGAGGTCAGGAGGTGTGAATATAGATTACAAGAGTCTTAGAAAGAAACAAGAATTGTACAGGATGAGGATATAATTGCAAAATAGTTGTTTTAAAAGCAGTGTAAATGTGAGCAGTAAAGGAAGCATGGAAACAAACTTGAAATAAGTGTTCTCATGACTGAAAAAGTGGGATGAATTGAATGAAGACAGAGAGAATAAGATCCACACACACACACACACAGCGAACGAAAAAAAGTGATACAAAAAATAAAAATGAACAACACAAAAAGATAAACATGTGTCAAGTACATCTGAAGGAAGTCTTGTCTCCAGGTTTTCTAAGCCTATATCAAAATAATTTTATGCCCCAAGCAAATAAAATCCTCATAAACAACAATTATCAGACACCTTGTGGATACAGATTGTGGTGGGATAAGTGTTTGGATAAGTGTTTGCTCTCCTCGAGTGAATATCATTGTTCTGACATTTGCATGTCGTCTGACATGTCTGACGGAATCCTCATTGTTTCTCATTGTTCCTGTTTATTCTGTAATTTCACTGCTTCTCTTTGTGGATGTCTCATGATGAGATTGACGATGTGTTGTTTTATGACTGTTATTCAATTTGAGTGAGTGAAGGTCATCATTCTGACGTTGAAGTGTTTGTGGGAATTATTTTGTGTGTGTGTGTGTGTGATTCTTGCTGACAGAGTTTCGATCTCACCCGTTGTCTGGAATATTCTACTTGATTATCTGGTAACTCCATTATGGTTGATAAGATTTTATTTTGATAAGTCACACAGTGTCTGTTGTACAGCAATATTAACTGACAACCATGCTTCGAGCACAAACTATTGCCACTGATAATCATATTAAGACACTACCCACAGCATATCTCTAGCTTCTTGACACACATATAAACTCACTCACTGGTGAAGGGAATAAAATTCGCATTTGAATCGGAGGAAAATGAACAAGGAGAATTAGCCATGATGTCAGATTGTAAAGTCAAATCAAACTGAGAGAAGAAAGTAAACTGAACACTAGCGTTTATAAAAGGCAAAGGCAACGCACTGTAGTAGATATTTTGACTTTAATTCATCTCATCCTCCGTTAACTGTTAAGGCAGGCTTAGTCAAGTGTCAAACAAACCGAGCAGTAGCACTAAGCAATACAAAAAGATACCTGAATGATGAAATGAAACAGATAGAAGAGGCGTTGGTGTTCGATAACTATCCCACGAAATTCATTAGGAAGATCAGAAAAGTCCAAAAGCAAACATAAATAAGAGAGAATATACGGAATCTATTGTTATACCATATAAGAAGGGGAAATCTGAGACCCTATGTAGGATTCTTAGTAAAGCAGGAATTACGGTGGTATTCAAACATACAAACTCACTCAGACAGGACAAGCTCTGTAGGCTAAGGGAACCGGTGGAGCGCATTAAACAAAATAATATAATCTACAGAATACCTTGCAATTACTGTGAGTTAAGTGAACTATTTAAGTCAAACTAGTAGGTCAGGGGTATTCAGATCGTCGGAAGATACGAATATAGCTAAGGGAAGAATAGTTGACCCCGAGAAGAAGATGAGTAATTTAGAAAAAACTCAGCTATAGCACTGCATGCATTGACACACAACCACACAATAGGATGAGTGGGATAGGGTTAGGATTCTAAGAAGTAATCTATGTCGCTGGAGAGAGAGAGAGAGATTGATAACTGCATCATCCCTGGTTCATTGAGTCTACACTCAACACATGCAATAGGAATGACTCCATGCAAATAACGAAAATATGGAAGATATTATTACTAACAGTCAAATCAGAAGAGGATGACAAATAATCTTAAAATTCTATTTCAATTCACGTACACCATAACATTCTAACAAGTTATTTATTATTATGACTGTAGAAACACTCGTCTTATCTCCCATCTGATCAGAACTCAGATATGTTCTGCTCAGCTATGCGGTAGAACGCGAAGATTGTTTTCCTGTGTTCACAATATAACACGTCAGTTTCGAACGATACACAGGACACTTTCTCGAGATCCCTGAATCCTTTAAAATATTGCATGTCCAGAAGACACTAGATTTACAAGGATTTACTGAAGAGATTACAGTGTATTGTTTCCAAGGTGTCTTATGCATGCATAGTGAGAGTGCGGTCTGTCTGTCTGTCTGTCTGTCTGCCTGTCTCTAAATTCCTTAGTGAGTGTATTTTGATTTTGACTGCATTGATTACATAATCGTATGCTTTAAAGTTTCAGCAGCGATTGGATCGATTTCCCGGGTAAATTCGCCAACCCTACACCCAACCCTCCCTCTCTTCCCTGGCTTAGGACTGACTGGCTAAATTGCAGTAAACTGGGCTAGGTTGCATAGTTATCCATAATACAGATTTCCTTTTACTGAGCTGAATTGAAACATATGAGCCACATAGTTTTCTTGAGTTGTAATGTAACCTTTGTATTGCCAGCAGTGTTTATTCTTCTGTTTTCTGTCTCCTGTCTTCAAATCATCCGCGTTTTCTGTCCTGGTGAGGACTGGAACTAAACAGGTAGTCATGCTTACATTTTGTCACAGCTAGTAAAAATCGTTCTAACGTTGAAGTAGGGTTATTTCCACTCTGTTGTTACCGTCTCAATTCAGGTAGTCTGCAGCTGATGACAGACAGCCTGTGAAATGAAATGACGTCATTTTATACTGCAAATCTGATTTGATTTTTCTCTTGCATTTATCGACAAACGACGTTACGCTTTGCGATGCTTTGACAGTTTGATAGCAAGTTGAAGGCCTCTAGATATCGAATACTGCAAACAGCAGAGGCCATTGCAGTTCACTCAAGTCAACCGGAGCTCAGCGTGCAAAAGAAACAGGTCGATCGTGCCAGCCACTACCGTTACTCTGACCTGCTGTCGGACCTTTGAATCCATAAATGTTCAACTATATTCTTGCATGAAACTATTTAATACTGACTGATTGGGATGAGTAGTAGCATACCACTGATAGATCACCTCGATCTGGCTGGCTGGCTGGCTGGCTGGCTACCTAGCAAGCATTCACTACTGGTTGATATAAGTGGTATGCAACTACTCCTCCCAATTAGTCTGTAGTATATAGTGTTATGTAAAAACAGTTCAACTCATTCGAAGAACATTTTAGAAAAATAGAAAAAATGCATGAGAAGGAACAAAGAATATTTTTGTTGTGAATGTGACTCACTCTGAAGTGTGTACTTGTTTGAGCAGTTTGAATTGACTGATCACGTTTACTGGTACCAGGACGACTTTCCGGTATATGACTCACTGTAGATTGAGAACGTGTTTTCGCTTGTGAAACATCAGCAGTTTGAACTGACTTATAAATTATATTTGTAGCAGGATAATTAACCTGATCAATAACCTGATTAATAATAATAATAATATTATTATTATTGCTATTATTACCGTAACTATTCATTCTAAAGAGATCAAACCACAAACATGTGAACTGAAATAAAGTTCAATTTAGTCCCCCACCACACACACACACACATCTCACGCATTTGGAACCCTTGACGCCATAGAAGAAGAATTCGACCTCCAGAAATATACCTCCGTCCTAACAGGAATTTAAAGGACTGAACGAAATGATGTATTCCTTTTCAATTAGTTCCTCATCATCATTGGCCTTACACTAATGCACATATATATATATATATATATATATATATAAGAAAACCGTCTCCATGCATTTGGAATTCAAAGGTGATCAAGCTTCATCAGATATGCTCAAAAGCCGTCTCTCTACAGCAGTTGGTAAGGTGTTCTTTGCAACAAAATTACAAATGACGTTCATCAGCCGAATGTTGTTCTCCATCTCTGTAAGTGATAGGTTCACCCATCTGACCGCCTCCGTGTGTATCAGTCAGTTGACCTGCTCTTGTGGAGCAGGGTACATTGGCCGTAGGCAGAGAACGCTTTCCACACGGATTGAAAACGAATTCCAGCATGGTTTTACAAGGAAGAAAGGAAGAATGCGTGAAGCTGTGTTCTTGATAGGATCCCACACACTTTGTTATTGTTCAATTATCTTAACGACTGTTAATCTCGCATAATTGGTATATCATTTTTTTCCCACGCATTTTGATATTGACTATTACGACCAATTATTTCAAATACTGTTAGCTGTCTGTATTGGTTGTAAAAATGTATAAATACTATTTCCTAAATAAGTTTCTTTGTCGTCGTAGTTTGTCGTAGTTGTTGTACTACAATATACAGTCACAGACCAGCTTTTGTCTTTTGATATTTGCGTGGTTCGCTGAATCGGAAGGTACCAGAAGCAGATAGGCATATTAGTCAGGCGCAGACAGAACAAGGCGACAACGTCCTCATTTAAATCCCCTACAGTTACAACAGTTCTAGAACAGCTGATCGACTCCTGTCACTTTACTAACCCTGAGCATGATTTTAGGTTGTGGTGAGAGATGGTTGCTAGCCAAATTGTTAGACAGTAATTGAGGTCAATGTTAGTCATGTGAAAACAAGGTCAAGATGGACAGGCGGATACAGTTAACATAGAGATTAACTGACACAGTCACAAGAGATGCAAGATTAACTTTTTGTGAGAAACAACCAATCAACAGACTGTATTTTCTACAAACACTAACCTACAAAAATGTGCATCAAAATCTATAAATACATGTTGATTTTCCATAATAAACCCCTTTGCAACATCTATGCATCTTATGAATTATTCTATAAATGACATTAATTATTTCGCCACTTGACATTTAACTATTATTAATGGAATGAAGAGAACATGAAGTTCAGCAAAGACAACTGTCTTCCCGGCGATTTCACTTTCAAAAGCAGCTGTACAATCGCATTTAAATACATAATTTTACACAGATACAATTTTTACTTGATTCCGCACAATTACGAAGACGAATAAAAGGTGACAACTAGATATTTTCAACTAGATATGGTTTACGAGAGGCTTAGAGACAAAATCACACAAGATTAGGACGAATTATAAGTCTGTAAAAAATGAGAATGGAAACAAATTGAAATAATTATTTTCAACTTGAAATGGAGGTCAGGAGGTGTGAATATAGATTACAAGAGTCTGAGAAAGAAACAAGAATTGCACAGGATGAGGATATAATTGCAAAATAGTTGTTTTAAAAGCAGTGTAAATGTGAGCAGTAAAGGAAGCATGGAAACAAACTTGAAATAAGTGTTCTCATGACTGAAAAAGTGGGATGAATTGAATGAAGACAGAGAGAATAAGATCCACACACACACACACACAGCGAACGAAAAAAAGTGATACAAAAAATCAAAATGAACAACACAAAAAGATAAACATGTGTCAAGTACATCTGAAGGAAGTCTTGTCTCCAGGTTTTCTAAGCCTATATCAAAATAATTTTATGCCCCAAGCAAATAAAATCCTCATAAACAACAATTATCAGACACCTTGTGGATACAGATTGTGGTGGGATAAGTGTTTGGATAAGTGTTTGCTCTCCTCGAGTGAATATCATTGTTCTGACATTTGCATGTCGTCTGACATGTCTGACGGAATCCTCATTGTTTCTCATTGTTCCTGTTTATTCTGTAATTTCACTGCTTCTCTTTGTGGATGTCTCATGATGAGATTGACGATGTGTTGTTTTATGACTGTTATTCAATTTGAGTGAGTGAAGGTCATCATTCTGACGTTGAAGTGTTTGTGGGAATTATTTTGTGTGTGTGTGTGTGTGATTCTTGCTGACAGAGTTTCGATCTCACCCGTTGTCTGGAATATTCTACTTGATTATCTGGTAACTCCATTATGGTTGATAAGATTTTATTTTGATAAGTCACACAGTGTCTGTTGTACAGCAATATTAACTGACAACCATGCTTCGAGCACAAACTATTGCCACTGATAATCATATTAAGACACTACCCACAGCATATCTCTAGCTTCTTGACACACATATAAACTCACTCACTGGTGAAGGGAATAAAATTCACATTTGAATCGGAGGAAAATGAACAAGGAGAATTAGCCATGATGTTAGATTGTAAAGTCAAATCAAACTAACAGAAGAAAGTAAACTGAACACTAGCGTTTATAAAAGGCAAAGGCAACGCACTGTAGTAGATATTTTGACTTTAATTCATCTCATCCTCCGTTAACTGTTAAGGCAGGCTTAGTCAAGTGTCAAACAAACCGAGCAGTAGCACTAAGCAATACAAAAAGATACCTGAATGATGAAATGAAACAGATAGAAGAGGCGTTGGTGTTCGATAACTATCCCACGAAATTCATTAGGAAGATCAGAAAAGTCCAAAAGCAAACATAAATAAGAGAGAATATACGGAATCTATTGTTATACCATATAAGAAGGGGAAATCTGAGACCCTACGTAGGATTCTTAGTAAAGCAGGAATTACGGTGGTATTCAAACATACAAATTCACTCAGACAGGACAAGCTCTGTAGGCTAAGGGAACCGGTGGAGCGCATTAAACAAAATAATATAATCTACAGAATACCTTGCAATTACTGTGAGTTAAGTGAACTATTTAAGTCAAACTAGTAGGTCAGGGGTATTCAGATCGTCGGAAGATACGAATATAGCTAAGGGAAGAATAGTTGACCCCGAGAAGAAGATGAGTAATTTAGAAAAAACTCAGCTATAGCACTGCATGCATTGACACACAACCACACAATAGGATGAGTGGGATAAGGTTAGGATTCTAAGAAGTAATCTATGTCGCTGGAGAGAGAGAGAGATTGATAACTGCATCATCCCTGGTTCATTGAGTCTACACTCAACACATGCAATAGGAATGACTCCATGCAAATAACGAAAATATGGAAGATATTATTACTAACAGTCAAATCAGAAGAGGATGACAAATAATCTTAAAATTCTATTTCAATTCACGTACACCATAACATTCTAACAAGTTATTTATTATTATGACTGTAGAAACACTCGTCTTATCTCCCATCTGATCAGAACTCAGATATGTTCTGCTCAGCTATGCGGTAGAACGCGAAGATTGTTTTCCTGTGTTCACAATATAACACGTCAGTTTCGAACGATACACAGGACACTTTCTCGAGATCCCTGAATCCTTTAAAATATTGCATGTCCAGAAGACACTAGATTTACAAGGATTTACTGAAGAGATTACAGTGTATTGTTTCCAAGGTGTCTTATGCATGCATAGTGAGAGTGCGGTCTGTCTGTCTGTCTGTCTGTCTGCCTGTCTCTAAATTCCTTAGTGAGTGTATTTTGATTTTGACTGCATTGATTACATAATCGTATGCTTTAAAGTTTCAGCAGCGATTGGATCGATTTCCCGGGTAAATTCGCCAACCCTACACCCAACCCTCCCTCTCTTCCCTGGCTTAGGACTGACTGGCTAAATTGCAGTAAACTGGGCTAGGTTGCATAGTTATCCATAATACAGATTTCCTTTTACTGAGCTGAATTGAAACATATGAGCCACATAGTTTTCTTGAGTTGTAATGTAACCTTTGTATTGCCAGCAGTGTTTATTCTTCTGTTTTCTGTCTCCTGTCTTCAAATCATCCGCGTTTTCTGTCCTGGTGAGGACTGGAACTAAACAGGTAGTCATGCTTACATTTTGTCACAGCTAGTAAAAATCGTTCTAACGTTGAAGTAGGGTTATTTCCACTCTGTTGTTACCGTCTCAATTCAGGTAGTCTGCAGCTGATGACAGACAGCCTGTGAAATGAAATGACGTCATTTTATACTGCAAATCTGATTTGATTTTTCTCTTGCATTTATCGACAAACGACGTTACGCTTTGCGATGCTTTGACAGTTTGATAGCAAGTTGAAGGCCTCTAGATATCGAATACTGCAAACAGCAGAGGCCATTGCAGTTCACTCAAGTCAACCGGAGCTCAGCGTGCAAAAGAAACAGGTCGATCGTGCCAGCCACTACCGTTACTCTGACCTGCTGTCGGACCTTTGAATCCATAAATGTTCAACTATATTCTTGCATGAAACTATTTAATACTGACTGATTGGGATGAGTAGTAGCATACCACTGATAGATCACCTCGATCTGGCTGGCTGGCTGGCTGGCTGGCTACCTAGCAAGCATTCACTACTGGTTGATATAAGTGGTATGCAACTACTCCTCCCAATTAGTCTGTAGTATATAGTGTTATGTAAAAACAGTTCAACTCATTCGAAGAACATTTTAGAAAAATAGAAAAAATGCATGAGAAGGAACAAAGAATATTTTTGTTGTGAATGTGACTCACTCTGAAGTGTGTACTTGTTTGAGCAGTTTGAATTGACTGATCACGTTTACTGGTACCAGGACGACTTTCCGGTATATGACTCACTGTAGATTGAGAACGTGTTTTCGCTTGTGAAACATCAGCAGTTTGAACTGACTTATAAATTATATTTGTAGCAGGATAATTAACCTGATCAATAACCTGATTAATAATAATAATAATAATATTATTATTATTGCTATTATTACCGTAACTATTCATTCTAAAGAGATCAAACCACAAACATGTGAACTGAAATAAAGTTCAATTTAGTCCCCCACCACACACACACACACATCTCACGCATTTGGAACCCTTGACGCCATAGAAGAAGAATTCGACCTCCAGAAATATACCTCCGTCCTAACAGGAATTTAAAGGACTGAACGAAATGATGTATTCCTTTTCAATTAGTTCCTCATCATCATTGGCCTTACACTAATGCACATATATATATATATATATATATATATATATATATATATATATAAGGAAACCGTCTCCATGCATTTGGAATTCAAAGGTGATCAAGCTTCATCAGATATGCTCAAAAGCCGTCTCTCTACAGCAGTTGGTAAGGTGTTCTTTGCAACAAAATTACAAATGACGTTCATCAGCCGAATGTTGTTCTCCATCTCTGTAAGTGATAGGTTCACCCATCTGACCGCCTCCGTGTGTATCAGTCAGTTGACCTGCTCTTGTGGAGCAGGGTACATTGGCCGTAGGCAGAGAACGCTTTCCACACGGATTGAAAACGAATTCCAGCATGGTTTTACAAGGAAGAAAGGAAGAATGCGTGAAGCTGTGTTCTTGATAGGATCCCACACACTTTGTTATTGTTCAATTATCCTAACGACTGTTAATCTCGCATAAGTGGTATATCATTTTTTTCCCACGCATTTTGATATTGACTATTACGACCAATTATTTCAAATACTGTTAGCTGTCTGTATTGGTTGTAAAAATGTATAAATACTATTTCCTAAATAAGTTTCTTTGTCGTCGTAGTTTGTCGTAGTTGTTGTACTACAATATACAGTCACAGACCAGCTTTTGTCTTTTGATATTTGCGTGGTTCGCTGAATCGGAAGGTACCAGAAGCAGATAGGCATATTAGTCAGGCGCAGACAGAACAAGGCGACAACGTCCTCATTTAAATCCCCTACAGTTACAACAGTTCTAGAACAGCTGATCGACTCCTGTCACTTTACTAACCCTGAGCATGATTTTAGGTTGTGGTGAGAGATGGTTGCTAGCCAAATTGTTAGACAGTAATTGAGGTCAATGTTAGTCATGTGAAAACAAGGTCAAGATGGACAGGCGGATACAGTTAACATAGAGATTAACTGACACAGTCACAAGAGATGCAAGATTAACTTTTTGTGAGAAACAACCAATCAACAGACTGTATTTTCTACAAACACTAACCTACAAAAATGTGCATCAAAATCTATAAATACATGTTGATTTTCCATAATAAACCCCTTTGCAACATCTATGCATCTTATGAATTATTCTATAAATGACATTAATTATTTCGCCACTTGACATTTAACTATTATTAATGGAATGAAGAGAACATGAAGTTCAGCAAAGACAACTGTCTTCCCGGCGATTTCACTTTCAAAAGCAGCTGTACAATCGCATTTAAATACATAATTTTACACAGATACAATTTTTACTTGATTCCGCACAATTACGAAGACGAATAAAAGGTGACAACTAGATATTTTCAACTAGATATGGTTTACGAGAGGCTTAGAGACAAAATCACACAAGATTAGGACGAATTATAAGTCTGTAAAAAATGAGAATGGAAACAAATTGAAATAATTATTTTCAACTTGAAATGGAGGTCAGGAGGTGTGAATATAGATTACAAGAGTCTTAGAAAGAAACAAGAATTGCACAGGATGAGGATATAATTGCAAAATAGTTGTTTTAAAAGAAGTGTAAATGTGAGCAGTAAAGGAAGCATGGAAACAAACTTGAAATAAGTGTTCTCATGACTGAAAAAGTGGGATGAATTGAATGAAGACAGAGAGAATAAGATCCACACACACACACACACAGCGAACGAAAAAATGTGATACAAAAAATCAAAATGAACAACACAAAAAGATAAACATGTGTCAAGTACATCTGAAGGAAGTCTTGTCTCCAGGTTTTCTAAGCCTATATCAAAATAATTTTATGCCCCAAGCAAATAAAATCCTCATAAACAACAATTATCAGACACCTTGTGGATACAGATTGTGGTGGGATAAGTGTTTGGATAAGTGTTTGCTCTCCTCGAGTGAATATCATTGTTCTGACATTTGCATGTCGTCTGACATGTCTGACGGAATCCTCATTGTTTCTCATTGTTCCTGTTTATTCTGTAATTTCACTGCTTCTCTTTGTGGATGTCTCATGATGAGATTGACGATGTGTTGTTTTATGACTGTGATTCAATTTGAGTGAGTGAAGGTCATCATTCTGACGTTGAAGTGTTTGTGGGAATTATTTTGTGTGTGTGTGTGTGTGATTCTTGCTGACAGAGTTTCGATCTCACCCGTTGTCTGGAATATTCTACTTGATTATCTGGTAACTCCATTATGGTTGATAAGATTTTATTTTGATAAGTCACACAGTGTCTGTTGTACAGCAATATTAACTGACAACCATGCTTCGAGCACAAACTATTGCCACTGATAATCATATCAAGACACTACTCACAGCATATCTCTAGCTTCTTGACACACATATAAACTCACTCACTGGTGAAGGGAATAAAATTCGCATTTGAATCGGAGGAAAATGAACAAGGAGAATTAGCCATGATGTTAGATTGTAAAGTCAAATCAAACTAACAGAAGAAAGTAAACTGAACACTAGCGTTTATAAAAGGCAAAGGCAACGCACTGTAGTAGATATTTTGACTTTAATTCATCTCATCCTCCGTTAACTGTTAAGGCAGGCTTAGTCAAGTGTCAAACAAACCGAGCAGTAGCACTAAGCAGTACAAAAAGATACCTGAATGATGAAATGAAACAGATAGAAGAGGCGTTGGTGTTCGATAACTATCCCACGAAATTCATTAGGAAGATCAGAAAAGTCCAAAAGCAAACATAAATAAGAGAGAATATACGGAATCTATTGTTATACCATATAAGAAGGGGAAATCTGAGACCCTATGTAGGATTCTTAGTAAAGCAGGAATTACGGTGGTATTCAAACATACAAATTCACTCAGACAGGACAAGCTCTGTAGGCTAAGGGAACCGGTGGAGCGCATTAAACAAAATAATATAATCTACAGAATACCTTGCAATTACTGTGAGTTAAGTGAACTATTTAAGTCAAACTAGTAGGTCAGGGGTATTCAGATCGTCGGAAGATACGAATATAGCTAAGGGAAGAATAGTTGACTCCGAGAAGAAGATGAGTAATTTAGAAAAAACTCAGCTATAGCACTGCATGCATTGACACACAACCACACAATAGGATGAGTGGGATAGGGTTAGGATTCTAAGAAGTAATCTATGTCGCTGGAGAGAGAGAGAGATTGATAACTGCATCATCCCTGGTTCATTGAGTCTACACTCAACACATGCAATAGGAATGACTCCATGCAAATAACGAAAATATGGAAGATATTATTACTAACAGTCAAATCAGAAGAGGATGACAAATAATCTTAAAATTCTATTTCAATTCACGTACACCATAACATTCTAACAAGTTATTTATTATTATGACTGTAGAAACACTCGTCTTATCTCCCATCTGATCAGAACTCAGATATGTTCTGCTCAGCTATGCGGTAGAACGCGAAGATTGTTTTCCTGTGTTCACAATATAACACGTCAGTTTCGAACGATACACAGGACATTTTCTCGAGATCCCTGAATCCTTTAAAATATTACATGTCCAGAAGACACTAGATTTACAAGGATTTACTGAAGAGATTACAGTGTATTGTTTCCAAGGTGTCTTATGCATGCATAATGAGAGTGCGGTCTGTCTGTCTGTCTGTCTGTCTGCCTGTCTCTAAATTCCTTAGTGAGTGTATTTTGATTTTGACTGCATTGATTACATAATCGTATGCTTTAAAGTTTCAGCAGCGATTGGATCGATTTCCCGGGTAAATTCGCCAACCCTACACCCAACCTTCCCTCTCTTCCCTGGCTTAGGACTGACTGGCTAAATTGCAGTAAACTGGGCTAGGTTGCATAGTTATCCATATTACAGATTTCCCTTTACTGAGCTGAATTGAAACATATGAGCCACATAGTTTTCTTGAGTTGTAATGTAACCTTTGTAATGCCAGGAGTGTTTATTCTTCTGTTTTCTGTCTCCTGTCTTCAAATCATCCGCGTTTTCTGTCCTGGTGAGGACTGGAACTAAACAGGTAGTCATGCTTACATTTTGTCACAGCTAATAAAAATCGTTCTAACGTTGAAGTAGGGTTATTTCCACTCTGTTGTTACCGTCTCAATTCACGTAGTCTGCAGCTGATGACAGACAGCCTGTGAAATGAAATGACGTCATTTTATACTGCAAATCTGATTTGATTTTTTCTCTTGCATTTATCGACAAACGACGTTACGCTTTGTGATGCTTTGACAGTTTGATAGCAAGTTGAAGGCCTCTAGATATCGAATACTGCAAACAGCAGAGGCCATTGCAGTTCGCTCAAGTCAACCGGAGCTCAGCGTGCAAAAGAAACAGGTCGATCGTGCCAGCCACTACCGTTACTCTGACCTGCTGTCGGACCTTTGAATCCATAAATTTTCAACTATATTCTTGCATGAAACTATTTAATACTGACTGATTGGGATGAGTAGTAGCATACCACTGATAGATCACCTCGATCTGGCTGGCTGGCTGGCTGGCTGGCTAGCTAGCAAGCATTCACTACTGGTTGATATAAGTGGTATGCAACTACTCCTCCCAATTAGTCTGTAGTATATAGTGTTATGTAAAAACAGTTCAACTCATTCGAAGAACATTTTAGAAAAATAGAAAAAATGCATGAGAAGGAACAAAGAATATTTTTGTTGTGAATGTGACTCACTCTGAAGTGTGTACTTGTTTGAGCAGTTTGAATTGACTGATCACGTTTACTGGTACCAGGACGACTTTCCGGTATATGACTCACTGTAGATTGAGAACGTGTTTTCGCTTGTGAAACATCAGCAGTTTGAACTGACTTATAAATTATATTTGTAGCAGGATAATTAACCTGATCAATAACCTGATTAATAATAATAATAATATTATTATTATTGCTATTATTACCGTAACTATTCATTCTAAAGAGATCAAACCACAAACATGTGAACTGAAATAAAGTTCAATTTAGTCCCCCACCACACACACACACACATCTCACGCATTTGGAACCCTTGACGCCATAGAAGAAGAATTCGACCTCCAGAAATATACCTCCGTCCTAACAGGAATTTAAAGGACTGAACGAAATGATGTATTCCTTTTCAATTAGTTCCTCATCATCATTGGCCTTACACTAATGCACATATATATATATATATATATAAGAAAACCGTCTCCATGCATTTGGAATTCAAAGGTGATCAAGCTTCATCAGATATGCTCAAAAGCCGTCTCTCTACAGCAGTTGGTAAGGTGTTCTTTGCAACAAAATTACAAATGACGTTCATCAGCCGAATGTTGTTCTCCATCTCTGTAAGTGATAGGTTCACCCATCTGACCGCCTCCGTGTGTATCAGTCAGTTGACCTGCTCTTGTGGAGCAGGGTACATTGGTCGTGGCCAGAGAACGCTTTCCACACGGATTGAAAACGAATTCCAGCATGGTTTTACAAGGAAGAAAGGAAGAATGCATGAAGCTGTGTTCTTGATAGGATCCCACACACTTTGTTATTGTTCAATTATCTTAACGACTGTTAATCTCGCATAAGTGGTATATCATTTTTTTCCCACGCATTTTGATATTGACTATTACGACCAATTATTTCAAATACTGTTAGCTGTCTGTATTGGTTGTAAAAATGTATAAATACTATTTCCTAAATAAGTTTCTTTGTCGTCGTAGTTTGTCGTAGTTGTTGTACTACAATATACAGTCACAGACCAGCTTTTGTCTTTTGATATTTGCGTGGTTCGCTGAATCGGAAGGTACCAGAAGCAGATAGGCATATTAGTCAGGCGCAGACAGAACAAGGCGACAACGTCCTCATTTAAATCCCCTACAGTTACAACAGTTCTAGAACAGCTGATCGACTCCTGTCACTTTACTAACCCTGAGCATGATTTTAGGTTGTGGTGAGAGATGGTTGCTAGCCAAATTGTTAGACAGTAATTGAGGTCAATGTTAGTCATGTGAAAACAAGGTCAAGATGGACAGGCGGATACAGTTAACATAGAGATTAACTGACACAGTCACAAGAGATGCAAGATTAACTTTTTGTGAGAAACAACCAATCAACAGACTGTATTTTCTACAAACACTAACCTACAAAAATGTGCATCAAAATCTATAAATACATGTTGATTTTCCATAATAAACCCCTTTGCAACATCTATGCATCTTATGAATTATTCTATAAATGACATTAATTATTTCGCCACTTGACATTTAACTATTATTAATGGAATGAAGAGAACACGAAGTTCAGCAAAGACAACTGTCTTCCCGGCGATTTCACTTTCAAAAGCAGCTGTACAATCGCATTTAAATACATAATTTTACACAGATACAATTTTTACTTGATTCCGCACAATTACGAAGACGAATAAAAGGTGACAACTAGATATTTTCAACTAGATATGGTTTACGAGAGGCTTAGAGACAAAATCACACAAGATTAGGACGAATTATAAGTGTGTAAAAAATGAGAATGGAAACAAATTGAAATAATTATTTTCAACTTGAAATGGAGGTCAGGAGGTGTGAATATAGATTACAAGAGTCTTAGAAAGAAACAAGAATTGCACAGGATGAGGATATAATTGCAAAATAGTTGTTTTAAAAGAAGTGTAAATGTGAGCAGTAAAGGAAGCATGGAAACAAACTTGAAATAAGTGTTCTCATGACTGAAAAAGTGGGATGAATTGAATGAAGACAGAGAGAATAAGATCCACACACACACACACACAGCGAACGAAAAAAAGTGATACAAAAAATCAAAATGAACAACACAAAAAGATAAACATGTGTCAAGTACATCTGAAGGAAGTCTTGTCTCCAGGTTTTCTAAGCCTATATCAAAATAATTTTATGCCTCAAGCAAATAAAATCCTCATAAACAACAATTATCAGACACCTTGTGGATACAGAGTGTGATAGAATAAGTGTTTGGAAAATTTCTCACGAGAGATCTAGTCACGATATCGCTACTTATTCAGGTGTTCCTGCTAACTTTGTGGTTTATGATCCCTCCTTGCTCTCCTCGAGTGAATATCATTGTTCTGACATTTGCATGTCGTCTGACATGTCTGACGGAATCCTCATTGTTTCTCATTGTTCCTGTTTATTCTGTAATTTCACTGCTTCTCTTTGTGGATGTCTCATGATGAGATTGACGATGTGTTGTTTTATGACTGTGATTCAATTTGAGTGAGTGAAGGTCATCATTCTGACGTTGAAGTGTTTGTGGGAATTATTTTGTGTGTGTGTGTGTGTGATTCTTGCTGACAGAGTTTCGATCTCACCCGTTGTCTGGAATATTCTACTTGATTATCTGGTAACTCCATTATGGTTGATAAGATTTTATTTTGATAAGTCACACAGTGTCTGTTGTACAGCAATATTAACTGACAACCATGCTTCGAGCACAAACTATTGCCACTGATAATCATATCAAGACACTACTCACAGCATATCTCTAGCTTCTTGACACACATATAAACTCACTCACTGGTGAAGGGAATAAAATTCGCATTTGAATCGGAGGAAAATGAGCAAGGAGAATTAGCCATGATGTTAGATTGTAAAGTCAAATCAAACTAACAGAAGAAAGTAAACTGAACACTAGCGTTTATAAAAGGCAAAGGCAACGCACTGTAGTAGATATTTTGACTTTAATTCATCTCATCCTCCGTTAACTGTTAAGGCAGGCTTAGTCAAGTGTCAAACAAACCGAGCAGTAGCACTAAGCAGTACAAAAAGATACCTGAATGATGAAATGAAACAGATAGAAGAGGCGTTGGTGTTCGATAACTATCCCACGAAATTCATTAGGAAGATCAGAAAAGTCCAAAAGCAAACATAAATAAGAGAGAATATACGGAATCTATTGTTATACCATATAAGAAGGGGAAATCTGAGACCCTACGTAGGATTCTTAGTAAAGCAGGAATTACGGTGGTATTCAAACATACAAATTCACTCAGACAGGACAAGCTCTGTAGGCTAAGGGAACCGGTGGAGCGCATTAAACAAAATAATATAATCTACAGAATACCTTGCAATTACTGTGAGTTAAGTGAACTATATAAGTCAAAGTAGTAGGTCGGGGGTATTCAGATCGTCGGAAGATACGAATATAGCTAAGGGAAGAATAGTTGACCCCGAGAAGAAGATGAGTAATTTAGAAAAAACTCAGCTATAGCACTGCATGCATTGACACACAACCACACAATAGGATGAGTGGGATAGGGTTAGGATTCTAAGAAGTAATCTATGTCGCTGGAGAGAGAGAGAGATTGATAACTGCATCATCCCTGGTTCATTGAGTCTACACTCAACACATGCAATAGGAATGACTCCATGCAAATAACGAAAATATGGAAGATATTATTACTAACAGTCAAATCAGAAGAGGATGACAAATAATCTTAAAATTCTATTTCAATTCACGTACACCATAACATTCTAACAAGTTATTTATTATTATGACTGTAGAAACACTCGTCTTATCTCCCATCTGATCAGAACTCAGATATGTTCTGCTCAGCTATGCGGTAGAACGCGAAGATTGTTTTCCTGTGTTCACAATATAACACGTCAGTTTCGAACGATACACAGGACATTTTCTCGAGATCCCTGAATCCTTTAAAATATTACATGTCCAGAAGACACTAGATTTACAAGGATTTACTGAAGAGATTACAGTGTATTGTTTCCAAGGTGTCTTATGCATGCATAATGAGAGTGCGGTCTGTCTGTCTGTCTGTCTGTCTGCCTGTCTCTAAATTCCTTAGTGAGTGTATTTTGATTTTGACTGCATTGATTACATAATCGTATGCTTTAAAGTTTCAGCAGCGATTGGATCGATTTCCCGGGTAAATTCGCCAACCCTACACCCAACCTTCCCTCTCTTCCCTGGCTTAGGACTGACTGGCTAAATTGCAGTAAACTGGGCTAGGTTGCATAGTTATCCATATTACAGATTTCCCTTTACTGAGCTGAATTGAAACATATGAGCCACATAGTTTTCTTGAGTTGTAATGTAACCTTTGTAATGCCAGGAGTGTTTATTCTTCTGTTTTCTGTCTCCTGTCTTCAAATCATCCGCGTTTTCTGTCCTGGTGAGGACTGGAACTAAACAGGTAGTCATGCTTACATTTTGTCACAGCTAATAAAAATCGTTCTAACGTTGAAGTAGGGTTATTTCCACTCTGTTGTTACCGTCTCAATTCACGTAGTCTGCAGCTGATGACAGACAGCCTGTGAAATGAAATGACGTCATTTTATACTGCAAATCTGATTTGATTTTTTCTCTTGCATTTATCGACAAACGACGTTACGCTTTGTGATGCTTTGACAGTTTGATAGCAAGTTGAAGGCCTCTAGATATCGAATACTGCAAACAGCAGAGGCCATTGCAGTTCGCTCAAGTCAACCGGAGCTCAGCGTGCAAAAGAAACAGGTCGATCGTGCCAGCCACTACCGTTACTCTGACCTGCTGTCGGACCTTTGAATCCATAAATTTTCAACTATTTTCCCGCATAAAACTATTTTCTACTGATTGATTCATTGGGATGAGTAGTAGCATACCACTGATAGATCACCTCGATCTGGCTGGCTGGCTGGCTGGCTGGCTAGCTAGCAAGCATTCACTACTGGTTGATATAAGTGGTATGCAACTACCCCTCCCAATTAGTCAGCAGTATCTAGTGTTATGTAAAATCAGTTCAACTCATTCGAAGAACATTTTAAAAAATAGAAAGAAAGGCATGAGAAGGAACAAAGAATATTTTTGTTGTTTATGTGACTCACTGTGATTGGAGGACCTGTTTTATCGTTTGAACTACCTGTATTTCGAATTGATATATTAGGTATACGTGTGGCAGGATCATTCTGCGGATCAACACCTTGGAGTATAACCTGCAAAATAAAGGGCAAATCAATTAATAATAATAATATTATTATTATTGCTATTATTACCGTAACTATTCATTCTAAAGAGATCAAACCACAAACATGTGAACTGAAATAAACTTTATTTCGGTAACTCGCCACACACACATGCACATCTTGCGCATTTGGAACCCTTGACACCATAGAAGAAGAATTCGACCTCCCGAAATAAACCTCCATCCTAACAGGAATTTAAAGGACTGAACGAAATGATGTATTCCTTTTCAATTAGTTCCTCATCATCATTGGCCTTACACTAATGCACATATATATATATATATATATATATATATATATATAAGAAAACCGTCTCCATGCATTTGGAATTCAAAGGTGATCAAGCTTCATCAGATATGCTCAAAAGCCGTCTCTCTACAGCAGTTGGTAAGGCGTTCTTTGCAACAAAATTACAAATGACGTTCACCAGCCGCAAGTCCTTCTCCATCTCTGTAAGTGATAGGCTCAGCCATCTCACCGCCTCCATGTACATCTGTCAGTTGACCTGCTCTTGTGGAGCAGGGTACATTGGCCGTAGCCAGAGAACGCTTTCCACACTGATTGGAAAACGAATTCCAGCATGGTTTTACAAGGAAGAAAGGAAGAATGCGTGAAGCTGTGTTCTAGAACAGCTGATCGACTCCTATCACTTTACTAACCCTGAGCATGATTTTAGGTTGTGGTGAGAGATGGTTGCTAGCCAAATTGTTAGACAGTAATTGAGGTCAATGTTAGTCATGTGAAAACAAGGTCAAGATGGACAGGCGGATACAGTTAACATAGAGATTAACTGACACAGCCACAAGAGATGCAAGATTAACTTTGTGTGAGAAACAGCCGATCAACAGACTGTATTTTCTACAAACATTAACCTACAATAATGTACATCAAAATCTATAAATATATGTTGATTTTCCGTAATGAACGTTCTGTTGCCTGGCCCTTGTCTTCTGTTGTTACAAAGTCTGTCTAGTCAATCCATGCTAACTTGCCGCATTTTCTTCCTTATGCACTTCTAAATGCAGCGGAGCATTTGGCCATTCATGAAATTAAGCCAGCCAGCTCACCTTGGCCGTAGAGGGATAGACATCTATTTATTTATTTGTTTAGTTAGTTAGTTAGTTAATCTATGCACATTTCCTTCATTACTATGATTATTATTATTATTATTACAATTCTCACTTTGAATTGTTTCCACCTGCCATTCTAAATTCTAAATTCTTTAAAATATTGAATTCTATCTTATAGAAGAACTTCACACCATGTTATGTAACTTTCCATATTTGCCCGCTAACCCTATAATTATACACCCCTCTGCAACATCTATGCATCTTATGAATTATTCTATATATGACATTAATTATTTCGCCACTTGACATTTAACTATTATTAATGGAATGAAGAGAACACGAAGTTCAGCAAAGACAACTGTCTTTCCGGCGATTTCATTTTCAAAAGCAGCTGTACAATCGCATTTAAATACATAATTTTACACAGATACAATTTTTACTTGATTCCGCACAATTACGAAGACGAATAAAAGGTGACAACTAGATATTTTCAACTAGATATGGTTTACGAGAGGCTTAGAGACAAAATCACACAAGATTAGGACGAATTATAAGTGTGTAAAAAATGAGAATGGAAACAAATTGAAATAATTATTTTCAACTTGAAATGGAGGTCAGGAGGTGTGAATATAGATTACAAGAGTCTTAGAAAGAAACAAGAATTGCACAGGATGAGGATATAATTGCAAAATAGTTGTTTTAAAAGAAGTGTAAATGTGAGCAGTAAAGGAAGCATGGAAACAAACTTGAAATAAGTGTTCTCATGACTGAAAAAGTGGGATGAATTGAATGAAGACAGAGAGAATAAGATCCACACACACACACACACACAGCGAACGAAAAAAAGTGATACAAAAAATCAAAATGAACAACACAAAAAGATAAACATGTGTCAAGTACATCTGAAGGAAGTCTTGTCTCCAGGTTTTCTAAGCCTATATCAAAATAATTTTATGCCTCAAGCAAATAAAATCCTCATAAACAACAATTATCAGACACCTTGTGGATACAGAGTGTGATGGAATAAGTGTTTGGAAAATTTCTCACGAGAGATCTAGTCACGATATCGCTACTTATTCAAATGTTCCTGCTAACTTTGTGGTTTATGATCCCTCCTTGCTCTCCTCGAGTGAATATCATTGTTCTGACATTTGCATGTCGTCTGACATGTCTGACGGAATCCTCATTGTTTCTCATTGTTCCTGTTTATTCTGTAATTTCACTGCTTCTCTTTGTGGATGTCTCATGATGAGATTGACGATGTGTTGTTTTATGACTGTGATTCAATTTGAGTGAGTGAAGGTCATCATTCTGACGTTGAAGTGTTTGTGGGAATTATTTTGTGTGTGTGTGTGTGTGATTCTTGCTGACAGAGTTTCGATCTCACCCGTTGTCTGGAATATTCTACTTGATTATCTGGTAACTCCATTATGGTTGATAAGATTTTATTTTGATAAGTCACACAGTGTCTGTTGTACAGCAATATTAACTGACAACCATGCTTCGAGCACAAACTATTGCCACTGATAATCATATCAAGACACTACCCACAGCATATCTCTAGCTTCTTGACACACATATAAACTCACTCACTGGTGAAGGGAATAAAATTCGCATTTGAATCGGAGGAAAATGAACAAGGAGAATTAGCCATGATGTTAGATTGTAAAGTCAAATCAAACTGAGAGAAGAAAGTAAACTGAACACTAGCGTTTATAAAAGGCAAAGGCAACGCACTGTAGTAGATATTTTGACTTTAATTCATCTCATCCTCCGTTAACTGTTAAGGCAGGCTTAGTCAAGTGTCAAACAAACCGAGCAGTAGCACTAAGCAGTACAAAAAGATACCTGAATGATGAAATGAAACAGATAGAAGAGGCGTTGGTGTTCGATAACTATCCCACGAAATTCATTAGGAAGATCAGAAAAGTCCAAAAGCAAACATAAATAAGAGAGAATATACGGAATCTATTGTTATACCATATAAGAAGGGGAAATCTGAGACCCTATGTAGGATTCATAGTAAAGCAGGAATTACGGTGGTATTCAAACATACAAATTCACTCAGACAGGACAAGCTCTGTAGGCTAAGGGAACCGGTGGAGCGCATTAAACAAAATAATATAATCCACAGAATACCTTGCAATTACTGTGAGTTAAGTGAACTATATAAGTCAAACTAGTAGATCGGGGGTATTCAGATCGTCGGAAGATACGAATTTAGCTAAGGGAAGAATAGTTGACCCCGAGAAGAAGATGAGTAATTTAGAAAAAACTCAGCTATAGGACTGCATGCATTGACACACAACCACACAATAGGATGAGTGGGATAGGGTTAGGATTCTAAGAAGTAATCTATGTCGCTGGAGAGAGAGAGAGATTGATAACTGCATCATCCCTGGTTCATTGAGTCTACACTCAACACATGCAATAGGAATGACTCCATGCAAATAACGAAAATATGGAAGATATTATTACTAACAGTCAAATCAGAAGAGGATGACAAATAATCTTAAATTTCTATTTCAATTCACGTACACCATAACATTCTAACAAGTTATTTATTATTATGACTGTAGGAACACTCGTCTTATCTCCCATCTGATCAGAACTCAGATATGTTCTGCTCAGCTATGCGGTAGAACGCGAAGATTGTTTTCCTGTGTTCACAATATAACACGTCAGTTTCGAACGTTACACAGGACACTCTCTCGAAATCCCTGAATCCTTTAAAATATTACATGTCCAGAAGACACTAGATTTACAAGGATTTACTGAAGAGATTACAGTGTATTGTTTCCAAGGTGTCTTATGCATGCATAATGAGAGTGCGGTCTGTCTGTCTGTCTGTCTGTCTGTCTGCCTGTCTCTAAATTCCTTAGTGAGTGTATTTTGATTTTGACTGCATTGATTACATAATCGTATGCTTTAAAGTTTCAGCAGCGATTGGATCGATTTCCCGGGTAAATTCGCCAACCCTACACCCAACCTTCCCTCTCTTCCCTGGCTTAGGACTGACTGGCTAAATTGCAGTAAACTGTGCTAGGTTGCATAGTTATCCATATTACAGATTTCCCTTTACTGAGCTGAATTGAAACATATGAGCCACATAGTTTTCTTGAGTTGTAATGTAACCTTTGTAATGCCAGGAGTGTTTATTCTTCTGTTTTCTGTCTCCTGTCTTCAAATCATCCGCGTTTTCTGTCCTGGTGAGGACTGGAACTAAACAGGTAGTCATGCTTACATTTTGTCACAGCTAATAAAAATCGTTCTAACGTTGAAGTAGGGTTATTTCCACTCTGTTGTTACCGTCTCAATTCAAGTAGTCTGCAGCTGATGACAGACAGCCTGTGAAATGAAATGACGTCATTTTATACTGCAAATCTGATTTGATTTTTTCTCTTGCATTTATCGACAAACGACGTTACGCTTTGTGATGCTTTGACAGTTTGATAGCAAGTTGAAGGCCTCTAGATATCGAATACTGCAAACAGCAGAGGCCATTGCAGTTCGCTCAAGTCAACCGGAGCTCAGCGTGCAAAAGAAACAGGTCGATCGTGCCAGCCACTACCGCTACTCTGACCCGCTGTCGGACCTTTGAATTCATAAATTTTCAACTATATTCTTGCATAAAACTATTTTCTACTGATTGATTCATTGGGATGAGTAGTAGCATACCACTGATAGATCACCTCGATCTGGCTGGCTGGCTGGCTGGCTGGCTAGCTAGCAAGCATTCACTACTGGTTGATATAAGTGGTATGCAACTACCCCTCCCAATTAGTCAGCAGTATCTAGTGTTATGTTAAATCAGTTCAACTCATTCGAAGAACATTTTGAAAAATAGAAAAAAAGTCATGAGAAGGAACAAAGAATATCTTTGTTGTTTATGTGACTCACTGTGATTGGAGGACCTGTTTTATCGTTTGAACTACCTGTATTTCGAATTGATATATTAGGTATACGTGTGGCAGGATCATTCTGTGGATCTACACCTTGGAGTATAACCTGTAAATAAAGGGCAAATCAATTAATAATAATATTATTATTATTATTGCTATTATTACCGTAACTATTCATTCTAAAGAGATCAAACCACAAACATGTGAACTGAAATAAAGTTCAATTTAGTCCCTCACCACACACACACACACACATCTCACATATTTGGAACCCTTGACGCCATAGAAGAAGAATTCGACCTCCAGAAATATACCTCCATCCTAACAGGAATTTAAAGGACTGAACGAAATGATGTATTCCTTTTCAATTAGTTCCTCATCATCATTGGCCTTACACTAATGCAATATATATATATATATAAGAAAACCGTCTCCATGCATTTGGAATTCAAAGGTGATCAAGCTTCATCAGATATGCTCAAAAGCCGTCTCTCTAAAGCAGTTGGCAAGGCGTTCTTTGCAACAAAATTACAAATGACGTTCACCAGCCGCAAGTCCTTCTCCATCTCTGTAAGTGATAGGCTCAGCCATCTCACCGCCTCCATGTACATCTGTCAGTTGACCTGCTCTTGTGGAGCAGAGTACATTGGCCTTAGCCAGAGAACGCTTTCCACACTGATTGGAAAACGAATTCCAGCATGGTTTTACAAGGAAGAAAGGAAGAATGCGTGAAGCTGTGTTCTAGAACAGCTGATCGACTCCTATCACTTTACTAACCCTGAGCATGATTTTAAGTTGTGGTGAAAGATGGTTGCTAGCCAAATTGTTAGACAGTAATTGAGGTCAATGTTAGTCATGTGAAAACATGGTCAAGATGGACAGGCGGATACAGTTAACATAGAGATTAACTGACACAGCCACAAGAGATGCAAGATTAACTTTGTGTGAGAAACAGCCGATCAACAGACTGTATTTTCTACAAACATTAACCTACAATAATGTACATCAAAATCTATAAATATATGTTGATTTTCCGTAATGAACGTTCTGTTGCCTGGCCCTTGTCTTCTGTTGTTACAAAGTCTGTCTAGTCAATCCATGCTAATTTGCCGCGTTTTCTTCCTTATGCACTTCTAAATGCAGCGGAGCCCTTGGCCATTCATGAAATTAAGCCAGCCAGCTCACCTTGGCCGTAGAGGGATAGATATTTATTTATTTATTTGTTTAGTTAGTTAGTTAGTTAATCTATGCACATTTCCTTCATTACTATGATTATTAATATTATTATTACAATTCTCACTTTGAATTGTTTCCACCTGCCATTCTAAATTCTTTACAATATTGAATTCTTTCCTATAGAAGAACTTCACACCATGTTATGTAACTTTCCATATTTGCCCGCTAACCCTATAATTATACACCCCTCTGCAACATCTATGCATCTTATGAATTATTCTATATATGACATTAATTATTTCGCCACTTGACATTTAACTATTATTAATGGAATGAAGAGAACATGAAGTTCAGCAAAGACAACTGTCTTTCCGGCGATTTCATTTTCAAAAGCATCTGTATAATCGCATTTAAATACATAATTTTACACAGATACAATTTTTACTTGATTCCGCACAATTACGAAGACGAATAAAAGGTGACAACTAGATATTTTCAACTAGATATGGTTTACGAGAGGCTTAGAGACAAAATCACACAAGATTAGGACGAATTACAAGTGTGTAAAAAATGAGAATGGAAACAAATTGAAATAATTATTTTCAACTTGAAATGGAAGTTACGAGGTGTGAATGTAGATTACAAGAGTCTTAGAAAGAAACAAGAATTGCACAGGATGAGGATATAATTGCAAAATAATTGTTTTAAAAGCAGTGTAAATGAGAGCAGTAAAGGAAGCATGGAAACAAACTTGAAATAAGTGTTCTCATGACTGAAAAAGTGAGATGAATTGAATGAAGACAGAGAGAATAAGATCCACACACACACACAGCGAACGAAAAAAAGTGAAACAAAAAATCAAAATGAACAAAAAAAGATAAACATGTGTCAAGTACATCTGAAGGAAGTCTTGTCTCCAGGTTTTCTAAGCCTATATCAAAGTAATTTTATGCCTCAAGCAAATAAAATCCTCATAAACAACAATTATCAGACACCTTGTGGATACAGAGTGTGATGGAATAAGTGTTTGGAAAATCCCTCACGAGAGATCTAGTCACGATATCGCTACTTATTCAGGTGTTCCTGCTAACTTTGTGGTTTATGATCCCTCCTTGCTCTCCTCGAGTGAATATCATTGTTCTGACATTTGCATGTCGTCTGACATCTCTGACGGAATCCTCATTGTTTCTCATTGTTCCTGTTTATTCTGTAATTTCACTGCTTCTCTTTGTGGATGTCTCATGATGAGATTGACGATGTGTTGTTTTATGACTGTGATTCAATTTGAGTGAGTGAAGGTCATCATTCTGACGTTGAAGTGTCTGTGGGAATTATTTTGTGTGTGTGTGTGTGTGATTCTTGCTGACAGAGTTTCGATCTCACCCGTTGTCTGGAATATTCTACTTGATTATCTGGTAACTCCATTATGGTTGATAAGATTTTATTTTGATAAGTCACACAGTGTCTGTTGTACAGCAATATTAACTGACAACCATGCTTCGAGCACAAACTATTGCCACTGATAATCATATCAAGACACTACTCACAGCATATCTCTAGCTTCTTGACAGACATATAAACTCACTCACTAGTGAAGGGAATAAAGTTCGCATTTGAATCGGAGGAAAATGAACAAGGAGAATTAGCCATGATGTCAGATTGTAAAGTCAAATCAAACTGAGAGAAGAAAGTAAACTGAACACTAGCGTTTATAAAAGGCAAAGGCAACGCACTGTAGTAGATATTTTGACTTTAATTCATCTCATCCTCCGTTAACTGTTAAGGCAGGCTTAGTCAAGTGTCAAACAAACCGAGCAGTAGCACTAAGCAGTACAAAAAGATACCTGAATGATGAAATGAAACAGATAGAAGAGGCGTTGGTGTTCGATAACTATCCCACGAAATTCATTAGGAAGATCAGAAAAGTCCAAAAGCAAACATAAATAAGAGAGAATATACGGAATCTATTGTTATACCATATAAGAAGGGGAAATCTGAGACCCTACGTAGGATTCTTAGTAAAGCAGGAATTACGGTGGTATTCGAACATACAAATTCACTCAGACAGGACAAGCTCTGTAGGCTAAGGGAACCGGTGGAGCGCATTAAACAAAATAATATAATCTACAGAATACCTTGCAATTACTGTGAGTTAAGTGAACTATATAAGTCAAACTAGTAGGTCGGGGGTATTCAGATCGTCGGAAGATACGAATATAGCTAAGGGAAGAATAGTTGACCCCGAGAAGAAGATGAGTAATTTAGAAAAAAACTCAGCTATAGCACTGCATGCATTGACACACAACCACACAATAGGATGAGTGGGATAGGGTTAGGATTCTAAGAAGTAATCTATGTCGCTGGAGAGAGAGAGAGATTGATTACTGAATCCTGCCTGGTTCATTGAGTCTACACTCAACACATGCAATAGGAATGACTCCATGCAAATAACGAAAATATGGAAGATATTATTACTAACAGTCAAATCAGAAGAGGATGACAAATAATCTTAAAATTCTATTTCAATTCACGTACACCATAACATTCTAACAAGTTATTTATTATTATGACTGTAGAAACACTCGTCTTATCTCCCATCTGATCAGAACTCAGATATGTTCTGCTCAGCTATGCGGTAGAACGCGAAGATTGTTTTCCTGTGTTCACAATATAACACGTCAGTTTCGAACGTTACACAGGACACTTTCTCGAGATCCCTGAATCCTTTAAAATATTACATGTCCAGAGGACACTAGATTTACAAGGATTTACTGAAGAGATTACAGTGTAGTGTATTGTTTCCAAGGTGTCTTATGCATGCATAATGAGAGTGCGGTCTGTCTGTCTGTCTGTCTGTCTGCCTGTCTCTAAATTCCTTAGTGAGTGTATTTTGATTTTGACTGCATTGATTACATAATCGTATGCTTTAAAGTTTCAGCAGCGATTGGATCGATTTCCCGGGTAAATTCGCCAACCCTACACCCAACCTTCCCTCTCTTCCCTGGCTTAGGACTGACTGGCTAAATTGCAGTAAACTGTGCTAGGTTGCATAGTTATCCATATTACAGATTTCCCTTTACTGAGCTGAATTGAAACATATGAGCCACATAGTTTTCTTGAGTTGTAATGTAACCTTTGTAATGCCAGCAGTGTTTATTCTTCTGTTTTCTGTCTCCTGTCTTCAAATCATCCGCGTTTTCTGTCCTGGTGAGGACTGGAACTAAACAGGTAGTCATGCTTACATTTTGTCACAGCTAATAAAAATCGTTCTAACGTTGAAGTAGGGTTATTTCCACTCTGTTGTTACCGTCTCAATTCAAGTAGTCTGCAGCTGATGACAGACAGCCTGTGAAATGAAATGACGTCATTTTATACTGCAAATCTGATTTGATTTTTTCTCTTGCATTTATCGACAAACGACGTTACGCTTTGTGATGCTTTGACAGTTTGATAGCAAGTTGAAGGCCTCTAGATATCGAATACTGCAAACAGCAGAGGCCATTGCAGTTCGCTCAAGTCAACCGGAGCTCAGCGTGCAAAAGAAACAGGTCGATCGTGCCAGCCACTACCGTTACTCTGACCTGCTGTCGGACCTTTGAATCCATAAATTTTCAACTATATTCTTGCATAAAACTATTTTCTACTGATTGATTCATTGGGATGAGTAGTAGCATACCACTGATAGATCACCTCGATCTGGCTGGCTGGCTGGCTGGCTGGCTAGCTAGCAAGCATTCACTACTGGTTGATATAAGTGGTATGCAACTACCCCTCCCAATTAGTCAGCAGTATCTAGTGTTATGTAAAATCAGTTCAACTCATTCGAAGAACATTTTGAAAAATAGAAAGAAAGTCATGAGAAGGAACAAAGAATATCTTTGTTGTTTATGTGACTCACTGTGATTGGAGGACCTGTTTTATCGTTTGAACTACCTGTATTTCGAATTGATATATTAGGTATACGTGTGGCAGGATCATTCTGTGGATCTACACCTTGGAGTATAACCTGTAAATAAAGGGCAAATCAATTAATAATAATATTATTATTATTATTGCTATTATTACCGTAACTATTCATTCTAAAGAGATCAAACCACAAACATGTGAACTGAAATAAAGTTCAATTTAGTCCCTCACCACACACACATACACACATCTCACATATTTGGAACCCTTGACGCCATAGAAGAAGAATTCGACCTCCAGAAATATACCTCCATCCTAACAGGAATTTAAAGGACTGAACGAAATGATGTATTCCTTTTCAATTAGTTCCTCATCATCATTGGCCTTACACTAATGCAATATATATATATATATAAGAAAACCGTCTCCATGCATTTGGAATTCAAAGGTGATCAAGCTTCATCAGATATGCTCAAAAGCCGTCTCTCTACAGCAGTTGGCAAGGCGTTCTTTGCAACAAAATTACAAATGACGTTCACCAGCCGCAAGTCCTTCTCCATCTCTGTAAGTGATAGGCTCAGCCATCTCACCGCCTCCATGTACATCTGTCAGTTGACCTGCTCTTGTGGAGCAGAGTACATTGGCCTTAGCCAGAGAACGCTTTCCACACTGATTGGAAAACGAATTCCAGCATGGTTTTACAAGGAAGAAAGGAAGAATGCGTGAAGCTGTGTTCTAGAACAGCTTATCGACTCCTATCACTTTACTAACCCTGAGCATGATTTTAAGTTGTGGTGAAAGATGGTTGCTAGCCAAATTGTTAGACAGTAATTGAGGTCAATGTTAGTCATGTGAAAACATGGTCAAGATGGACAGGCGGATACAGTTAACATAGAGATTAACTGACACAGCCACAAGAGATGCAAGATTAACTTTGTGTGAGAAACAGCCGATCAACAGACTGTATTTTCTACAAACATTAACCTACAATAATGTACATCAAAATCTATAAATATATGTTGATTTTCCGTAATGAACGTTCTGTTGCCTGGCCCTTGTCTTCTGTTGTTACAAAGTCTGTCTAGTCAATCCATGCTAATTTGCCGCGTTTTCTTCCTTATGCACTTCTAAATGCAGCGGAGCCCTTGGCCATTCATGAAATTAAGCCAGCCAGCTCACCTTGGCCGTAGAGGGATAGATATTTATTTATTTATTTGTTTAGTTAGTTAGTTAGTTAATCTATGCACATTTCCTTCATTACTATGATTATTAATATTATTATTACAATTCTCACTTTGAATTGTTTCCACCTGCCATTCTAAATTCTTTAAAATATTGAATTCTTTCCTATAGAAGAACTTCACACCATGTTATGTAACTTTCCATATTTGCCCGCTAACCCTATAATTATACACCCCTCTGCAACATCTATGCATCTTATGAATTATTCTATATATGACATTAATTATTTCGCCACTTGACATTTAACTATTATTAATGGAATGAAGAGAACATGAAGTTCAGCAAAGACAACTGTCTTTCCGGCGATTTCATTTTCAAAAGCATCTGTATAATCGCATTTAAATACATAATTTTACACAGATACAATTTTTACTTGATTCCGCACAATTACGAAGACGAATAAAAGGTGACAACTAGATATTTTCAACTAGATATGGTTTACGAGAGGCTTAGAGACAAAATCACACAAGATTAGGACGAATTACAAGTGTGTAAAAAATGAGAATGGAAACAAATTGAAATAATTATTTTCAACTTGAAATGGAAGTTACGAGGTGTGAATGTAGATTACAAGAGTCTTAGAAAGAAACAAGAATTGCACAGGATGAGGATATAATTGCAAAATAATTGTTTTAAAAGCAGTGTAAATGTGAGCAGTAAAGGAAGCATGGAAACAAACTTGAAATAAGTGTTCTCATGACTGAAAAAGTGGGATGAATTGAATGAAGACAGAGAGAATAAGATCCACACACACACACACACAGCGAACGAAAAAAAGTGATACAAAAAATCAAAATGAACAAAAAAAGATAAACATGTGTCAAGTACATCTGAAGGAAGTCTTGTCTCCAGGTTTTCTAAGCCTATATCAAAATAATTTTATGCCTCAAGCAAATAAAATCCTCATAAACAACAATTATCAGACACCTTGTGGATACAGAGTGTGATGGAATAAGTGTTTGGAAAATTCCTCACGAGAGATCTAGTCACGATATCGCTACTTATTCAGGTGTTCCTGCTAACTTTGTGGTTTATGATCCCTCCTTGCTCTCCTCGAGTGAATATCATTGTTCTGACATTTGCATGTCGTCTGACATGTCTGACGGAATCCTCATTGTTTCTCATTGTTCCTGTTTATTCTGTAATTTCACTGCTTCTCTTTGTGGATGTCTCATGATGAGATTGACGATGTGTTGTTTTATGACTGTGATTCAATTTGAGTGAGTGAAGGTCATCATTCTGACGTTGAAGTGTCTGTGGGAATTATTTTGTGTGTGTGTGTGTGTGATTCTTGCTGACAGAGTTTCGATCTCACCCGTTGTCTGGAATATTCTACTTGATTATCTGGTAACTCCATTATGGTTGATAAGATTTTATTTTGATAAGTCACACAGTGTCTGTTGTACAGCAATATTAACTGACAACCATGCTTCGAGCACAAACTATTGCCACTGATAATCATATCAAGACACTACTCACAGCATATCTCTAGCTTCTTGACACACATATAAACTCACTCACTAGTGAAGGGAATAAAATTCGCATTTGAATCGGAGGAAAATGAACAAGGAGAATTAGCCATGATGTTAGATTGTAAAGTCAAATCAAACTGAGAGAAGAAAGTAAACTGAACACTAGCGTTTATAAAAGGCAAAGGCAACGCACTGTAGTAGATATTTTGACTTTAATTCATCTCATCCTCCGTTAACTGTTAAGGCAGGCTTAGTCAAGTGTCAAACAAACCGAGCAGTAGCACTAAGCAGTACAAAAAGATACCTGAATGATGAAATGAAACAGATAGAAGAGGCGTTGGTGTTCGATAACTATCCTACGAAATTCATTAGGAAGATCAGAAAAGTCCAAAAGCAAACATAAATAAGAGAGAATATACGGAATCTATTGTTATACCATATAAGAAGGGGAAATCTGAGACCCTATGTAGGATTCTTAATAAAGCAGGAATTACGGTGGTATTCAAACATACAAATTCACTCAGACAGGACAAGCTCTGTAGGCTAAGGGAACCGGTGGAGCGCATTAAACAAAATAATATAATCTACAGAATACCTTGCAATTACTGTGAGTTAAGTGAACTATATAAGTCAAACTAGTAGGTCGGGGGTATTCAGATCGTCGGAAGATACGAATATAGCTAAGGGAAGAATAGTTGACCCCGAGAAGAAGATGAGTAATTTAGAAAAAACTCAGCTATAGCACTGCATGCATTGACACACAACCACACAATAGGATGAGTGGGATAGGGTTAGGATTCTAAGAAGTAATCTATGTCGCTGGAGAGAGAGAGAGATTGATTACTGAATCCTGCCTGGTTCATTGAGTCTACACTCAACACATGCAATAGGAATGACTCCATGCAAATAACGAAAATATGGAAGATATTATTACTAACAGTCAAATCAGAAGAGGATGACAAATAATCTTAAAATTCTATTTCAATTCACGTACACCATAACATTCTAACAAGTTATTTATTATTATGACTGTAGAAACACTCGTCTTATCTCCCATCTGATCAGAACTCAGATATGTTCTGCTCAGCTATGCGGTAGAACGCGACGATTGTTTTCCTGTGTTCACAATATAACACGTCAGTTTCGAACGTTACACAGGACACTTTCTCGAGATCCCTGAATCCTTTAAAATATTACATGTCCAGAAGACACTAGATTTACAACGATTTACTGAAGAGATTACTAGTGTATTGTTTCCAAGGTGTCTTATGCATGCATAATGAGAGTGCGGTCTGTCTGTCTGTCTGTCTGTCTGCCTGTCTCTAAATTCCTTAGTGAGTGTATTCTGATTTTGACTGCATTGATTACATAATCGTATGCTTTAAAGTTTCAGCAGCGATTGGATCGATTTCCCGGGTAAATTCGCCAACCCTACACCCAACCTTCCCTCTCTTCCCTGGCTTAGGACTGACTGGCTAAATTGCAGTAAACTGAGCTAGGTTGCATAGTTATCCATATTACAGATTTCCCTTTACTGAGCTGAATTGAAACATATGAGCCACATAGTTTTCTTGAGTTGTAATGTAACCTTTGTAATGCCAGCAGTGTTTATTCTTCTGTTTTCTGTCTCCTGTCTTCAAATCATCCGCGTTTTCTGTCCTGGTGAGGACTGGAACTAAACAGGTAGTCATGCTTACATTTTGTCACAGCTAATAAAAATCGTTCTAACGTTGAAGTAGGGTTATTTCCACTCTGTTGTTACCGTCTCAATTCACGTAGTCTGCAGCTGATGACAGACAGCCTGTGAAATGAAATGACGTCATTTTATACTGCAAATCTGATTTGATTTTTTCTCTTGCATTTATCGACAAACGACGTTACGCTTTGTGATGCTTTGACAGTTTGATAGCAAGTTGAAGGCCTCTAGATATCGAATACTGCAAACAGCAGAGGCCATTGCAGTTCGCTCAAGTCAACCGGAGCTCAGCGTGCAAAAGAAACAGGTCGATCGTGCCAGCCACTACCGTTACTCTGACCTGCTGTCGGACCTTTGAATTCATAAATTTTCAACTATATTCTTGCATAAAACTATTTTCTACTGATTGATTCATTGGGATGAGTAGTAGCATACCACTGATAGATCACCTCGATCTGGCTGGCTGGCTGGCTGGCTGGCTAGCTAGCAAGCATTCACTACTGGTTGATATAAGTGGTATGCAACTACCCCTCCCAATTAGTCAGCAGTATCTAGTGTTATGTAAAATCAGTTCAACTCATTCGAAGAACATTTTGAAAAATAGAAAGAAAGGCATGAGAAGGAACAAAGAATATCTTTGTTGTTTATGTGACTCACTGTGATTGGAGGACCTGTTTTATCGTTTGAACTACCTGTATTTCGATCTGACTGATATCGTATATTTGTGACAGACTGATTTTTGTCATTTTGCACTTCGATTGTAACCTGTAAATAAAGGGCAAATCAATTAATAATAATATTATTATTATTATTGCTATTATTACCGTAACTATTCATTCTAAAGAGATCGAACCACAAACATGTGAACTGAAATAAACTTTATTTCAGTATCTCACCAGACACACACATGCACACCCTGCTCATTTGGAACCCTTGACGCCATAGAAGAAGAATTCGACCTCCCGAAATAAACCTCCATCCTAACAGGAATTTAAAGGACTGAACGAAATGATGTATTCCTTTTCAATTAGTTCCTCATCATCATTGGCCTTACACTAATGCACATATATATATATATATAAGAAAACCGTCTCCATGCATTTGGAATTCAAAGGTGATCAAGCTTCATCAGATATGCTCAAAAGCCGTCTCTCTACAGCAGTTGGTAAGGCGTTCTTTGCAACAAAATTACAAATGACGTTCACCAGCCGCAAGTCCTTCTCCATCTCTGTAAGTGATAGGCTCAGCCATCTCACCGCCTCCATGTACATCTGTCAGTTGACCTGCTCTTGTGGAGCAGGGTACATTGACCGTAGCCAGAGAACGCTTTCCACACTGATTGGAAAACGAATTCCAGCATGGTTTTACAAGGAAGAAGGGAAGAATGCGTGAAACTGTGTTCTAGATTTGCTGATCGACTCCTATCACTTTACTAACCCTGAGCATGATTTTAAGTCTGTCTACTGAATCCACGCTAACTTGTTGCGTTTGCTCCGTTATGCACTTCTTATTACGCCTGAAGCCTTTACTACGCATGAATTTGGGGCAGCCTCCCCTTTGTGGACAAAAAGTGTGTGTTCAATCTTTACTCCTGCCTTTTTCGATAGAGGGATAATAATTTATTTACTTATTTGGTTTATTTAGTTATTATGTGTACCTTCGCTTATCAATACGATTTTTGTTAATATTAATATTCGCACTCAGAATTGTTTCCGCTTTTCCCACTTGTCATTCTAAATCCAAAATTATTTTGTTCACAATATTGAATTCTATCTTATCGGATTTCACACCGTGTTATTTCACATTCTATATTCATTAGCCCACCACTCCTTAGTTCAAGAAATAAAGGCAAACTGTTCTGTTTCGCCTCTTTCGTGTGTATTCACCAGTTTAACTGCTCCTGCAGAGTTAGTTACATTGGCCTTGAATTCCAGGAAGTCTATCATCGAATTTCTGAGCACATTTCAATTTGATTTGGCAGAGGTCCCAATAAAGTTACAACGTAGCCCGATACACGAGCTCATCCCATCGTTATCGGACATGAAGTTGACTCTAACAAAGCTTTTAAAGTTATGTATCGTATTTCAGCTAACCTTTTACATAGTCTACAAGGTCGACTTTTGCATAACAGAAGAGGCAATCGAAATTCATCTGAAAAAGTTGAATCTCGGTGTTAAAAATAAATTTGTACAGCTCATTTCTTTGCCAAGGCCAACTACATAATTTGTGTTAAGATTTTAGGAACGACTATTTCCCCTCCTCTTGTAACTATATTTTGACTTTATTATTATTTTTACAGTTTGTATTTAACGTAATTATTCTGAGTCATCAATGCTGTTTTACTAATTTCTTGATTATGTAACAACTTGTGCCTAACGCCCACGAATTAACTTATCTTGAATTCTGTAATTAATTTTCATCCTTCCTTCAAAACTTAGACACCTTGTGAATGACATTATTACTTAATTGATTTGATGACTTCTAGCCTCTTAATTTTCAACCCCTCTCCCATATACCTGAAACTGATTAACTAAAATGACCGTTTGATTGGTAAACATTTTGATGTAAATACAGTCTGTATATTAGTGTAGAGCCAGTCAATGATGAGAAACTAATCGGAATTGAATGTTTGTACAGCTAAAGAGTGAAATGAATGCAGTGAAAAGAGTCTCATCACTGAACTGTCTGTTTTGTGCCCTTTTTCAACTAATGCTTAGATGTAGATTATTCATTTACGAATTTTTCAAATAACAGAAGAACAATCAAAAAAACTATTAAAAATAAGTTATATAATAATCTTACTGATTCTGTTTCATGTGAACTTGTTGAACTCTGATTCCCCATGAACAGCTAGACAAATTTGTTGGATAGAAGAATAGAAGTAGAATGATTGAAGTGCTGAAATTTTTCTCTCAGAAAAAGACAAACTATTATATGTATATCAGAATGAATACTTTCCGTAATCTATTTATGCATGTAAGCACACACTCGCACATACCAACACACATTTACACACCCTACCTCTCTATCTCTCACTCTGTCTCACTCACTCACTCACTCACTCACTGGCTGGCTGGCTGGCTGGCTGGCTGGCTGGCTGGCTAACTCACTTTCACACCTTAATAATAATTAAACACCATCAATGCACATAGACAGAAACACAGCACAGATTCACAGACGTACAACATGCAGTCAATCAATCAACCAATCAATCTTGAGCAGTGAATAGTACTTACTATGGTAGACCAAAACTACACACAAACCAAACATTCCCTTACGACCAATCGTTTCGCTTCCAGGAACACCAACATATAATCTATCTGAAGAACTTTTCAGGAAATTAAATTACTTAACAGAATCATGCGACCATTCTATCAATTCGTCAATCCAATTTTTAGAGAGAATCAAAAACATTCAAGTGGATGACAATGAAATAATGGTGTCCTTTGATGTGTCACACCATTATATACACTTCAATTAGTCCAAAACCAGTTACAGAAACTATGCAACAATTACTCTATATTGATGAAAACATAAAAACACAATGTTCAGCTTGGATAAAACTCATAAAATTATGCCGTACAACACACTTCCAATTGGATACTCAAATATACGAACAAATAAAAGCAATACCAATGGGATCGCCCATATCAGGATTAATAGCTGAAGTCGTTTTGCAAAGATTAGAATTAATAGCTCTACCTATAATTAAGCCGGAAATCTGGGTACGTTACGTTGATGATACATTTGTATTAGTTAAGAGAAATGATTTAGAATATACCCATAAATTAATAAACAACATATTTGCAGACATCAAATTCACAAGAGAAGAAGAATTAGATAACAAAATCCCATTTTTAGATGTCTTAATCAGGAGAACCAACACAGGAAATTTAGAAACACAAGTATGTAGAAAATCAACGCACACAGATCAAATACTCAACTATACTGCAGCAATAATCCAATTACTCACAAAAGAAACTGTATGCAAACATTGTTTAAAAGAATTAAAACACACTGTAGCACTACTCCGGTGTTGAAGAGAATGGAAGAAAAATACCTACTAATTGTTTTCAAACAGAATGGATTTCCTCCTCACAATTTCATCAAAAAGTGTTTAAAATTGACTCATAACACCAACAAGAAACCATCATCAAAGGTTACAAGAAAATTCATCCTAACATATATGAAAAATATCTCTGAAATAACAGCTAGAATACTGAAACCGTTTGAAATAGATATAATACACAAGCCAGCCCGTCCAATCACTTCATTGGATATTGAGCAAACCGAAAGATTTAACAGAAAGGAAGCAAGATAAATTCAATACTATTTACAAAATAAATTGTATGAACTGTAACAGACATTACGTAGGTCAAAGTGGACGTCCTCTTCAAATCAGAATCCAAGAACACAAATCAGCCCTGAAAAGACACGACATATATTCTTTCATATCAATACACATAGACAATTATGGACATCAGTTTGATTGGGATAATGTCAAAATCTTGGACATAGGAAACACCGAAAGTGCCAGGGAATTCCTAGAAGCCTGATACTCAAACTAAAATGCAATTAACAAACACGTTAATATAGACCAAATATACCAGCTAATGAAAAGTAAATCATGTTTATCGCGCGCTGTTTGAGAAAGGGAGTGCGTCTTCACGTTTTTTCACGTATTTGACAAATCACTGTTTTTGTTGTGTTATTCACTTCAAGAACATTTTTTAAGACTTTAACTTGACTTTTGTCTGTTAAGTTTTGATTTTAACCACTTATTTAGTCTATATTGGGTAAATTGTCTTGGCTGTTTCCAGTAGAAGTTCATTATGTCAAAAGTACCACATAAATGTAATAGGGCGGAGTGTTACCTTTTGGTAGATGATGGCATACAGTGTAATAACTGTAAAAAGTGGTATCATAAGATGTGTACTGGATTACGTCCGGCTGCATACAAACTTTGTAGTGCTCCAACATCCCACTGGATATACAGAATGTGTTGCTCCCCAAAAATGATTTTAATAAGGGAGGCTGACGAACTACTGTCTAAAGCCATGGAACTTTTAACTTAAGGGCTGGCAATTTAGTCAGTTTTCAGCCCAAATCCCGACCTAGTGTTTGGCATGCTGACGTAGTCACTATAAAGGAGCGTGCTTCAACTGCTGACTGGTCAGTCAATGTTGTCTCATCCATTGAAGATGAATGGGATAGATTTAAGAATACACTTGAGAGGGCTACCACTGATTTCATTCCCTGGAGGGTTCCTAAAAGACCAACAGATCGGCCACCATGGATAAATAGACAAGCTATAACACTCCTAAGACGGAGAAAAAGGCTCTGGAATCTCTTTGTTTCTACTGGGCGACAGCAGTTCCGGCTGAAATACTGTGAAACCAGAAACCAGTGTAAAACTTTGATTCACCAGTCAAGGATTGCTTACGAAACCCAGTTAGTTAAAAGTTCACCAGGCCGCGCGGAATGACTCTTCTAATATATCAAGAGAAGAATACGTAAGAGTGATGCTATCCCACCTCTTATGCTTGAAGATGACCAGACAAACATGGCTGAGAATAACTTGACTAAGGCTGAGGCTTTGTCCAAGCACTTTAGTCAAGTATTCTCTGATAATATTGATACCAGGTTTGTAACTTTTCCAGAAGGTAACTTGAAAATGGCGCCCTTATACATTGGAAAGGACACTGTCCTAAAGTGGCTTCTAAGGCTCAATCCTGGTAAGTCCAGTGGCCCTGATGAACTCCACCCACGTATATTAACAGCATTGGCTGAAAACATAGCCGAGCCATTGTCGGTAATCTTCAATATGTCTCTGGACCAGTTTAAATGTCCAAGAGACTGGAAAGATGCCATCATTAGTCCGGTCTACAAAACCGGATCTAGAAACTTAGTTCAGAACTATCGTCCTGTTAGTTTGACCAGTATTGTTGTTAAACTACTAGAAAGAATAATTCGTGATGCTATCATTCAGTTCATTGAAGGGAACAAACTTTTCGCTGTGGGACAGCATGGTTTTAGAGCAGGTCATTCTTGCTTGACCAACCTTCTTTTGGCCAGAGAAAGTTGGGCAAGCTCAGCTGATGCTAATACACCGGTGGATGCTATACTCATCGACCTTAGCAAGGCGTTTGACAGGGTTTCTCATTCAGGTCTTCTAGTAAAGTTAGGTAGTCTGGGAATCAATAAAGTGGTTGGCGACTGGATTCAAGACTTTCTAAAGGACAGAAGACAAAGAGTACGAGTTAACGGGGTTTTATCAACATGGGAATCGGTTAAGAGTGGCGTTTCTCAGGGTACAATTCTAGGCCCACTTCTTTTCCTGATTTATGTTAATGAGATTCCATCGGTAGTTAAGTCATCCTGCTTACTGTTTGCTGATGACATCAAGATATGGAGGGCTTTACACGATGACATTGATCAACTTGCTTTGCAGGAAGATTTAAACTTGTTAAGTGATTGGTGTAAGCACTGGGCCTTGGAGATTAACTTAAGCATGAGTGTAGTTATACATGTATCTCATAGTCACGTGCACAATTACTCAATGAATGGCATTATTCTCCCAGTGGTCACTGAGTACAAGGACTTGGGAGTGGTAGTGCAGCATGACTTGAAAACAGCAACAAACTGTAGAGCTGCAGCCACTAAGGGTTTTCGAATATTATGGGTCATACGCAAGGCTTTTGCGAACTTTGACGCTGATATATTTCGTATATTATATCCGACTTATATCAGACCTCATTTGAAATATGGGATCCAGGCAGCGAGCTCGTGTTTCAAATACGAAATAGACTTATTAGAAAGGGTGTAAAGAGTAGGAACAAAGCTAAATAAAGGGTTTCTCAACCCTCTCATATGAGGAGAGGTTAAGTCGACTGGGTTTATTTCCACTGTCATACAGACGACTTAGGGGTGACCTGATGCTAGCATACCGTATCCTAAGAAATGATTTTGGAGCTGATTTATCTAATTTATTTCTTCCTTCTAGCACCAACCAATTGCGAGGACATCACCTCAAGGTTCGAAAACCACGGTCGAATCGTCTGCGTCTGGAGATCCGATTTTCGCATCGAATTGTGAACCATTGGAACCCCTACCGAAACACGTCGTATCAGCACTATCCGTTGATTCATTCGAGGCGAGATTGGACCTCCTGTGTGTAACAAATCGAAAGGATTAACACAGGCATATAGCCTTCTATCCTAAATAAATTATAAACTGTAAACTATGTAACCAGAAAGTTCAAAATCCACGTTAATGGAAAATGATCAATACATATATAAAGATGGTCATCGGGAGACGCAATTATATCACTAATGAAGAAATTTAAATCATTTCACTTTATGCTAAATATTGCACTGAATGTGCTGTCCAGAAGGGCGACGAAAGCTCTGCAACTAACCCAACCAGCTCAGAGACCACTATTGATTGCAAGTAGTACCTATATCGTGATTCGTGTAAACCTGAGATTTGAGTTTGTCTTTATTGAAAATCAAAACAAGTGATTGAGCGAAGAGACTCTTTTCAACGAATTTATCATCAAGCTGTACAATCGTATATATATATAGTTTTTAAGAAGCTATATCCGGTGAGGGAATTGAATCATAGGTGTGAATGCATAAAATAATAATAATAGTAGTATGAAATGCAATTAAAAACTAAAATGTCTGTGATTATAATCGTAGTTAAATGTCAAGTAGCAAAGCAAATTAATGTCACATATAGAATAATTCTGAAGATGGATAGAACATGAAAAAGGATGTGCAATTATAGGATTAGTGGACAAATCGAATAAAATAAAAACGTTACGTAATACTGTGTGAAATTTG